GTGTAACTGAATTTAAATTTAAGGACCCCATAAAAGTAATAATGAGAAAACCTTGAACTCACGGGATTGAATAATGACAGCATGTATTGAGAATAACAACAGTTTACACGCATAAAACAACACAGTTATGATTTATAAATCATCAAGCGCATCTCCAAATCCGTAAAACCATCAAATCATTACTTAAGATAGCGTTAACCTTTTACGTCCATAAAAGAATCGTACCATACAAAAACGACCGCAGCCGTGGGAAAATCGTGAACATTGTTCCCTAGATCTGCATATAAAACTTATAGATAAATGAAAACTTTCTTTCTCTTCAAGATTTTTGTGGTGGCCTTGTGGTGTGCGGTGTTGTGGCAAACTAGTGACGTATTGTCCCGCAATTAGGGTTGCGCTTGGCTACCCTATCTGACTTTTTTATAAATTAGACAACATTTTATTAGTCTATTGTGATTTTTTTTTATTTTTCTCTCTATATACGGTTAAAAATACGAAAAATAGAGAAAATATACTTCAAAGCCAATGACCTCGAAGCGGTGCAGGCATTATCGAACACGTCAGATCAATAAAGATAATGTCGTCGTCCAAACATCACGCCGACAAAAAAAGTTGGATGTTTCCGAACAATAGCCTAGCAGTCATATCATCCATTGTGTTCTCAACTTATTCACCTGTCCAATGTGACCCACTGACCAGCATTTACATCTAGCATCTCTCGTACCGATCGATACTTTCGATGCAATTCGATTGCTCACTTGTAACAAAATAAACAGTTACACGTCAATAACAGGCGGCCATGAACTTCATGATCAAAATCGTTTTTAAGATTTATGACGACCCTGTTGTATCAGACAACCCAGTACTCGATACAACACGATCGACTCTTGATAACGATCGGAACAAGTGTGTACATTCCCTTTAAGCCACTCACAAATTATCCGCGCGGTGTGTTTTACAGCGCGATTTTCTTATTCATAAACTACAAACTGTTGACATTGCAACTGCAGCCAGGTGTTTACAATTTGATTGGCATAAAATTATGGGCGATACCAAACGGTACACTTTCCTGCGAGAGCTATTAAAAGGCGATAAATTCGTCTTTGCCCCTGCGTATAGGAAACATTGCAGGAAGCTGTAAATATGTAGTCGGAGAAATTACAACTCGATTATGAGTCGAGACTGTGTCGGCTCGATGTTGTGCAAAAACTGCCTTTGCGAGGGAAAAGCAGAAAATATGACAAGTTAATTTAGATTGAGTGGGCCCGTGAGAGTTGGAAAGGGAGGTGAAAGACAGCCGGAACAAATTGTATCATTGCATTGTGAACTAAACGCGATGGGAGGCGACCGAGCCGGTGCGAGAGCAAAGGTCCCTGATAACACCGTCGTGGGGCGGCCCAAATGTCATCACGCAGACAGCCTGTCTGGCTGAGATAGAAGCATGCATAAGGTGGACTCGACGACGTTGTAGAAAGTGAAAATTAATATCCAATCTTGTAGGACATGACTATATTTGCGTATGTTGATGAAATGGGGCGTGCGAACCACGATGAGATGATTGCATATCATAGTGTACAAGTTTCTATGAAGCCAAACAATCGTGCCACTAACATACAAGTCCACGGAATTAATCGTGATGTTTAATCTAAACTTCGCATGTTAAGATATACTGACAATCACAAACTTAATCCTTCAATGATCAATCTTGTACCAAAAAATACTCTACTTACTTCTATTTAAAGAAGAAGGAGAGGGAATTATTTGTTTAACGTAAAACATTGATCTAATTACTTGTGAACAGTGTCAGAGTATTTCGGTGAATACAATTCAGATAAAGCAACATTGAGAATGGACGGAAGTAACACCGTTGGTGGACTGGAATGCAGTGAGAACATAGCAATGAAAGAAATTCATTACATTTGTATCATGGAAGAGTTCTCAGAATTTCTCATATTGATCAGGTAAGCACTTTTAAAAACATAATATTTGAAATACTAATATAAATTGTTCTCAGTTACGAGCTGGATTTCCGTTCCATTAACTGGGTTTTGAAAATTGAGCTAAGTTGTCGAAATAATAAGCATACAGTGATATGTCGTTTATAAGATCCTCGATCACCCAAGCATGAATAAAATATTTGGTTGAATATGGTTAAGCTTTCAAATTCTTTCTATAGTAATAGAAGAAGACACAACTTAACGGACCTTTAATGAAGAACACATGTTTCTACGGTACACGCATATTGTAAAAGACAAATAAAAAGTTAATTGAACCTGACCTCAAACTGAACAATAACATGGCAATATTAATATCGGGGATTGAAGTTCCCATACAATGATAGGATAGACGACCAGCATGTCAAACTATACTCTCCAGTTTAAACTGAACTTTCAATAAGGAGGAAGCCTGTAAAATGTCAGGTCTTCATATAGTGGAAGATCTATCTCTATGATAGGTGAAGACATTCCCATGGCTACACTAGAATTCTATGGGGTTTCATTTAATGACGCTTTGTTTAAGTGCTAATTGTTGGTGTGTGTAAGAAAATTATGAATTCAAATGGTGATAATAGCATTTATGGTGTGTTAAAGATGAGATCAATATTTTGATGAAAGTGGAACAACTTTTTCTGGAGTGACAAAGAATAAGTGTTAGAAAACTAGAACAAATTTTTAAAGAGACACAGATGACTAAAAGGACTTATGATGTGAAAAGCACAGATGATAAATGTGGTTAAGTATCTTGTGACTATTATTTAATACAGTTAAGATTTAAATAAGCGGAATTCTACAGAGATACTAAACACCGCCTCATTTACACATGTATTATTCAATCATAACAAATAAAATACAGAGCAGAACATCACAACACTATTGGAATCACGACAGCTGCTATTGAAAACACGATAAAATATACAAAGAGACATAATTTCAAAACGTAACACTGAACCAATTCATGTTTACACAACAAACTACATAACGAAGCTCGTTACCGAGTTGCTGACAAACAAACAACACTTTCAGTAATCTAATAGACATGTAAACTGAAAATAGTAAAGCGAAAACTTTTATTACTAATTTACTCAACTGAGTTGTTTACATAAATCCCCTATTTTTATAATTGTAACATTTTCTATACCTCTATATGAATTCTGTACCTATAATATTAATTCTACGATTTGGAAAAAGTTAAAATGTGATCAGTAATTTTTATTAGTGTGTTCTTTGAGTGAATTCTGAACTGACGTCTCATTTTACGTTAGCTATTGTAAGATAAGTAAAAATGAAAGTAAAAATAAAAGTATAACAACGACATAGTCATCTTACTCAGTCCAATCAAGGTCACATACCGAGCAAATTCATTGAAGGGAGAAATGGAAGGGCGAAACACGCAACATCAATCATTACTGTCCGAATTCATATCATTAGACGTTATAACCCTATTTTTATACATTGGTCAACGAAAGTCATCATTAAACTGTCAAACACCAAGCGGTCACCAGTGACCGCAACCTATTGTTCTATAATTGTGTCTACAAAACCGGTACTCGACGAGTTAATATCCATTTATCCATTACCGACGACATTGAATAATCTTCATTGTTTTAATAAAGCGATGGATATGTTTCTGTAAGCTTCTGTAGCGTAGTTGGTTGTCCAATGTACGACCAAGATAACGGACCAACAACGTCTATGGCCAACATCGTTCGCACGCACGGCTTGAATAATATCTCAGCGGGAACTTCACAAACGTTTGAAATGAAATCTTTTGCATTTATTAAAAACAAATTGGAAAAGATGGAGAGTCATGCGTTTAATATTATATTTCCATGGTCAGCATGGGAGTCGTCTTGATATTTTGGAATCATTCGCATCGATGAACATTGTTGATACGGTAAAAGGCGCTTGGGATCAAAGAGATGCTTATTTAAAGATCAATGAACCTGAATACTATTCTGGTTATGTTCTGCATATAACTTTACTCCAATAATCTTGAGTCATAAAATCTGTAGGATAAAATGCAGTCAAAAAATTTGACTTTTCAATACTTTCGTCGATTACGTCGTAAAACCACAAAATGTTTTATGTCTCGTAATAAGTATTCTATCGAGATGGCCGATAATAAACTTTAACAAGATCAACAAACAGAAGATAAATAATGCAAATCTGAATAAGTAAATATTCGTTCAACTATCGCTAACGTTCATCAAGTACTACACGCGACACTACACAAAGGTCAACAGGGTGAAAGTTCTGAGAAAACTTATTGTATCAATACTAGTATCAAGTGAGATGAAATGTTTACTCAAGCTACATACAAGAACAAATATATGAGCAATGTTCATGATATTAAGTGATACGTGGGTCTAAAACCGCGACCACTTGAAAAAAGGTTAAAATGTGAAAAAATTTGCGACGATGAACTCTTAAAAACGTCCAAAACAATATAAATATCTTCTCAATAAATTTAGTAGTTACTATGAGAATGTTTAAAGAAATAGCCAATTTTCTCGCAAACACACGAACCTAATAACATGGAGTAATTATTGGTAGTAAATGGATAATAATAACGGTTATGTAATTGAGTGTGGTCAGAAAATGACTGATAGGTAATTGGACATAATGGTCTGTTGAGAAATAGAATTGCTAAGAGATCACTTTGAGTCCTTGTGTTCCGGGTTCTGCAAAATCATTTTACGAAATGTTACAACATTTCTGATGGGGTTGGAAATAGTGATAATATTAAATTGGAAGGGATAGCTAATATCGACATAAATGATATCATCATCCAGTCATCCTAAAAATATTCAATGCTTTAACTTCTTTAACTATTTAAAAGTAACTTTCTGATTCAATTTTTCATATTTTTTAGTCGTAAGAATGTTAATCGTTATCAACAGGGTAACACAAGATATACAAAAAAATTCGCAAATTCAAACCATAACATGCAACCTAGGGCAAAATAATTTCATATTGGCATTAGAACTGTCAAGTTCTTACCTGTGGTATCACACGCCGTCATCTCTGTAATAAGTCCCTCGAGGTCCGGCGATATGAGCCGTTCCTCGTCCTCTGAATGCGTATAATCCAACGCATGATATATTACTAGCGCCAAATTTACCACCAACTGCAACAAAGAAATCATCGTTTTAACTAAATGGTGAAAAAAAAATTACAACCAAAATCTGTTTGAAGAAATGTAATAAATGATGACCTTCTACATTACATTACAATAAAAACAGTCAAATAAACACGCAAACCAAAATAACTAAATTAAAAAAATAAAAGTGTGTGACCCACAAAATATTCGGCGAAAAAAAAGTAATTCGATGTCATTAAAGGTACTGTTAGTGGCTATGTTCTCGCGTGATGTTAGTGTCATACCCAAGTTGTAGCTACAAATTTTGTACTTGAATAAGTAACTAAAACTTAGACCAATATTTTTCCTACCCTTGTCATGATCGGTTGTTATAAGTAATGTCACATGCAACATCGACTATAATGGACGATAAGAATATCGTGATGTGCCTTTTTAGTTTGTCAATTGTGTATCAAATCAACGCATTTTGCGTCCAAATCTAAAATAACATTGTTAAGGTTGAAAACATCATTGAGATTCAATTTGCCTTCTTTTTAGGGCTGTTCGTTTTTAATACATTTCTTTCAACACACAAAACCCTCCGTCTATCATCCGTTTCATCACTAGAAGCTGATCCACAAAGCTAGCAGCCACCGTAACTATCGGAAGCACCGACCGTATCGCCCGGCACCCGGTCCATTGTTGCCTGACTGTTGCCCAACTCATCTGAATGCAACCGCTCCCGTACATGCAACTACACACTCCATTAAACCGATGTTTGGAAACAAGATTAATGGTGGAGGCTACCAGCTTTCATTGCCCATACAGTAGGACCACTCCTAAGAAAGTCTGATTATTTCGAAATCATTCCAAGGAGTTCCTGATATCCCTGGACGTGGAAGTGTTTATGTTCAAAAGATTATCATGTTTCAGTCATTTTATAAATCAAATATAATTAAATTATTCAATCACTAAGAGATATTACTTTTATGCCATTAATATGATTTGATTAGATAACTTAGGTTTATACATGATATGGTAGTACAATTAAAAGTGGTGATGTCTGTCTTGTAATTCGATCTTCTGAAATAACTCGTAGTCGGCAGTGAAGAGTTGAGCTTTTTCATAGCGCCCTCGAAATACTAATTAATTAGCAAGTTGGTGAAGCAAGAGCAAGAGAATAGATGAATTAGTTCCGATGGGAAGCTATTAATCAGACTTAAAGTCATTAGAAAAGTTTCAAAGCTTGACTATTTAGTTGAACAGTTACGAGAATATTTAACTGTTTCACGTTAGACGTACAATCAAATAAGCTTAGACGAAATACCGTTCGAAAAATATGCATAGCCAGATAATACATGATAATACTCGCGGAATGTAGAACGTAGGTCCGAATTCGATTATATCTCCCTAATCATATGTAAAAGCGAACGGACCAGCCAATTACAGATTATCTCATAATTTCAAATAACACCCTACTCGAACTCGCAACTATTTCGGATTAGCCAAACTCCGAGGCATCGCTTATCGCACCCATTGTATGCAAATCGCGTGCAATATGATCGAAGTTGCGCAAACGCACGTAACTGTAACGATCGACAGACAACCGGTAAACAATAAAAATCCTTAGTACGGTGATTAGTAAAATTGTATGCAAGGAGAGATAAAAATCTATTAAAGTAAAGGTAACACAAAACATCGGATGAGGATGAGACTGAAGTAATGACTGATATTCTTTTTTTTTCGGAACTGTCTAAAGTTATTTGGCGTTAGTGCTAATGCACCATTTTTAATTTTCCTCGACACAACATCTCATAATTTACATACATATTTTGTCAGAGGGCATGCATTGTTAACAAAAACGACATTACTAATTCACATTATTTACTCTTTACAAGTCCTATTCAAAATTCTATACACCATGTAAAACAATCTTTAAGAGCGGAAACATCGGGTGTAAACAAACTCATTTGCAATTTTAATTCTGTAGCAAAACAAAAATGTGTGCAAGAAAAAGATTTACTGGCTCTTAGTATAATGAACAAAGAGATCCGCGATGTTCAATGAAGCGGAGCTAATAACTGCGGAATCAATTAGGAGACCGGATGCTCAATATCTAACTGATACTGCATATTATTACGGTGAAGTGCAGCTTCTTATAGCAGCTGTTGGGAGTGAAGATGTCAATAATGAACGAACAGCTTATCTTATCGTTCTGTAAGAGGCTACCAAAGTCAATAGTGGTTTTGGGTTAAAAACAATGAAAAGAAAAGACCACAATATAGAAATAGGGAGATTATATAGAAAATTGTCATGACAAAAGAGTATGCAGAGTTACTAAAATCAAGAGAAAGAGAAGAGTCAAAATCAGAGGTGAATTCAAAAAATGTTTTCCTTGTTCTGTAATAAAATCAGCAACTGTAACATATCTATAAATATATGCAGAAATCTATCAACCACATCGTAATATGCATTTATTTATTAGACATATATGTATAAGTACCAGTGCTACCCATGTTGATTTGACAGCATCATCACATCAATCATTTGAGCAAATTGTGGGAAACGACGTGTTATGTGAACAGTGGTAATAGTTTCTTACATTATGTGCCATTAGAAATGTATGTGGTTGGAGCTGGGAATGAGATGATTGATTCTACTACTATTTATAGGATCAATAAATATTTTATTACATACGCGGTCTTTAAGAAGTCTCTTAAGCAAATAAAGGTTCATTGTTAAACAGAAGCAGTAGTAAGGCTTCGCACAATGTAATTTTAGTTAGCTACATAAATATTATCTTGTCTAGTTTCATCGGAACAGAATTTAGTTGCAACAAGAAGTGCATTCGAATCAAGCTGTATTTTATCATCTGCCCTCATTAGCCTTTCCCATTTATCTTGCAGCTTACTTCGTCTAACCAAATGCGGCAAATTCTACTATTCAACATGGAATTGCAACCTGACCTTCGTAACCTTACTTTGGAATACCGATATCAAATCTCCAGACTTCGGAGATATCCCGCAAGACCGAGAAGTCATTAAACCAATGGCAAGGAAACCTCCTAACCCTCAAAAACCGAATTATCCCTGTCTCAAGACCGGCAATCTCGTATTCTAATACAGAATGTACACAATCGCGCGATGACCGGCCCGCGATAACCCTTCACTGTCTAGTTAACCGAAGTTCACTCGGTCACTGTCTTACAAGGAAACACGCGGTCTTTGTGACCCTTATACGGCACGGAGAGAAAGTCCGCGTGGTAAGGGTTAAGTTATTAGATATTTATGGCTTGATGTGTGAAAATTGGTTTGTCGTGGGACCTGCTAATTTTTTCGTATATGTGACTAATTAGACTGGATTATGAGAGGAACATGGGACTGTATCGACTTATGACTGATAGCTACAGTCGTTGGTTTAGTAATCAATTGAAATTAACGGGGTGCATAGTTTATGCAAGGGTATCACTTAACCAAAGTATCTTTATCTGTTTTAAGGTACGAAGTAAACAAATTAATACTATTCTGTTCAACCTTTCGCCTAATATTTTTTATCAAAAATCTATTTTTCTCCTAAACGATACGCCTACAAATCCTAAAAGTTCAAAAGCCGGATTCACGTCAATTGAATCAAGCAAATCGGATTTATCCCAATTTAAAAAGAGCAAATACAGACATCGAAGGGCAAAAGTGAATTTCGAATTCAAAATAGAAACTCACAAACGATTTCAGAAATCCAGGTATATTTACTTTGAAAATAACTAAATAATACGTAGATACTTCATAGTTTTGCACACATTGATTTTGGATCTTTAATCTAGCAACATAATATTTACCTACGTATTTATTTTATTACAATGAATCAATCAGTGGTGTCTAAATAATCTTAAAAAGTACATATAACTCGGAAAAAGTCACATTGGTACTTGCCGTTGGTAGGTTTTGAACCCGCACCCTCATGCATGAGAAGTGGGCGTTAAAAAAATCCTCCTGACAAACGGTGAAGGAAAAACATCGTAAAAAAATCTGGACTTATAATTCTAATTATAAGTTTGAAATCGCCAACCCGCATTGAGCTAGCGTGCTGATTAACGTTCTAACCTTCTCCGTGTGAGAAGAGGCTTTGCTCAGCAGTGGGCATTTATAGGCTGTTAATGAATGAATCAATGATATATGCGATAGAATTCGTCATATGTAAAGAACTGATATCCAAGGTATAATAATAAGAGTTTGAAATAAAAAACTTAGATTCAAATCATTTAAAGGCTTACAACAAAAGCAACTTCGGTTCGGTCCAAGATTCTTAGCGCCAAATAAATACGATTCACGAACTTTGCCCTGACAATGTTACTGTGTAAACGCAACCCTACTGAACTACAATAAGGTCTTTCAGAAGGTTATCAGCTGCTTCCTATGTTTCCGGAAGGAAGCCCTATGAGTCCCCACGTGCAAGGCAAACGTAAACGCAAACCGTACGAACGTGGCGTAATGCGTTTTCAAGGCTAGCGATGGCTGGAACATGATTTTATCGATTTTATGTCACTTGCAGGAAGAAAATGTTTGGAATTTTTTCATCACATTTTTATTTGTTGGATGTGTGTGCGAAGTGAATTCTGAATACGAAATTTGTAGTCTTCGAGTTAAAAGATACTAATTTTTTATACTGCTACGGTCGCAAAAACCACACGACCCACCTGATGGTAAGCGGTTACCGGTGCTTATGCGTATTCTCTATTGAATTAAGAGATTTATCATATTAATCGTAGTTTATATAGTCTGAAAAGCAACCCGATACACCTATTAAATTGAACTAAATAATATGAGAAAGTGGTGTTTGCCTCTTCGAGAAATAATAGACAAGATGGTGTTTTCAAAGCTATCACTAGTTTTGACATCAGGCTATTAGGAGCATAAGATAAGATACTGACATTATGACAATTTCTCCTAGCATTACTATAGTCACATAAGATGTTAGGGCATTGTTTTGCAAGGACTATTCAACGATGTATAGTGATTACATTAGAATCTATCTAACAATAGATAAATACA